CCCTCTGTCCTGTGTGTGGGTTGAATTTTTACATCTAGAGACTGCTATCTTAGAATTCTGGACTTTTGTTCTCTTAGAGATAAGGTCGAATGGCAGGTTAGGAGGGGACTTTAACTCTGGTTTTAATAACTATTTTAGATATACAGAGGAAACAAAATCCATGCCCCATTTTTATTTTAACTGTGCTTTAAGTCTATTAAGTAGGTCCTGAAGTGGAACAGAGAACTCAGAAGTTCTTATTCTTAGTCCAGTGGGCTGCACCGCCCCCCCCCCCCCATAATATCACAGATTTATCTTTCATTTATCTGTGTTTTACTTCATCTTGATGAACTATATTGAAAACTTTCCAGTCCTCTGCTAAGGGATGGATAGAGCTTCTGAGCATATGTGCATAAGATAGAAGAACCATCCTCTAAGCAGCCTTTTCACTTAAAATTTTTGCATATTTAGTTAGGTCCCAGTGTTATTTCCCGGATATAATATAATATTACTAGCTAAGTGCCAAATATCTAAAAGAACTTTGGCCTTTTCTTAAGCTTTTTTTAAAAACCCAGTTTTTGTTTCTTTGTTTCTTTGTTTCTTTCTTTTGAAGTACCGTTGGGATACAGAGTTAAACACTCCTATCTCTATGTAGCTCTGTATCCATCAGTAAGGACTTAACTTTTCCCCTTTTTTCTTGGGTATTAATTATAGCTCTTTGGTTTCTCAAGTACTGAAAGAAGAGGCAAGATTCCTTGAGTGATTAAAGAAGTGCGATGTGACAGGGAGCGAGTGCCTGGAGCTACTGCCCTCTTTCACAAGGCATTACCGCAGATCCTCCCTTTCTGGTTTTGAAATTGCAGGGAGGAATGTGAAGAAGGAGCTAAATCTGGTTCGCTTGGTTCAGCAGTGACTCAGTGTGTTACTACTACTGTACAGATAATGTAGTCTTGTATTTTATGGCTGAGTTCCCAGGACAGGCAGCTTTTCCCTTATATAAAGTCATTAAATCATGGATTTCTTAGGATACTAACATTAAGCAGATGCAGATAATAAAGATTTAACCTAAAAACATTTTATAAAGCATTTCATTACAACCTTGTGCTACTTGATAATATTTAAACCAGTGCTTGAATCATTTGATGCAAAGATCATTTAATATGCCTGTTAACAAGCAAGGAAACACCAAGGTAATTATTCATATAATACTCGTGACATTATGGCAGCTATTTATTTGGCAGTTTTAAAATAGTGACCCCAGGGGCGCCTGGGTAGCTCAGTCGGTTGAGCATCTGATTCTAGATTTCGGCTCAGGTCATGATCTCAAGATTGGTGGGATCGAATCCCCACATTGGGCTTCTCCAGACAGCGCACAGCCTGCTTGGGATCCTCATTCTCCCCCTCTCTGTCTCTTGCTTGCGCGCATGCACATATTCACAAGCTCTCTAAATAAATAAACTTAAAAAAAAAAATAGTGACCCCATTTCTTGAATTTCTGAATATTTAAGAATAATTCACTTATTATTTCATGGTCTTTGTTATTTGAACCAGTTTTTTAGTTGTTAATTTCCAGCCTTTATACAAGAGGAGTTTTGTGATTGTCAGCAAGGTGAAAGAAAAATAGAGTGATCTTAAAATATAAACAAAAAGAAATGAGTCTTTTGTGGGAAAGTTAGTCTTGCTTATGCTTGCCAAAGGAGTGGTGAGGTATAGTCTAATTAACCAGATGTTTTTGAAGTTGAATGCAAGGGCCAGTCCTCTATTGTTTGAGTTAACACGAGTATACTCATCGAATTTAGCCAGGGTCTTTCTCTTTACGATAATGTTTGGATTTTTTGGTTGAATTTTTTTTTCCCCAGTTGAATTTTAAAACTTGTTTCTTGGGGCACTTGTGTGGCTTAGTCAGTCATGATCTCGCAGTTCATGAGTTCTGGCCCCATATTGGGTTCTGTGCTGACAGCTCAGAGCCTGGAGCCTGCTTTGGATTCTGTGTTTCCTTCTCTCTCTCTGCCCCTCCCCTGCTTGCACTCTGTCTCTCTCTCAAAAATAGAGAAAAAAAATTTTTAAATAAAAAAAATAAATAAAATTTTCTTCCCTTATTTGTGAACTTTCGTTTTTCCTCCTAAAATTTATGGATTTTTTTAAAGATAGGTATGATTAAACAGAAACCTAAGTTATAAAAAAGGATTTAGGCAGCAGTTGCAAATTCAGGGGCCAGGCACAATGAACTACTGTGGTGAGATGTCCAAGTATGACTGTGGGCTTGGAGGAATATAAACAGCAGCAAGCCCTTTCAAAAATCACTTGTATGTTTCAAAAAAAAAAAAAGAAGAAGAAGAAAGAAAAAAGAAAAATCATTGTGCAGGCATATGAGGGTCACTGGTTTGTGGATTTTGTATTAAGAAAGTCATATAACTGCCTGTGAAATTAATGTCACCTTATGCTGTATTGATACAATTGAGGCAGGGGTAGATTGGGGTTCTGCTGCTTTGATTCAACCACACCTAAAGTATAGTGTTTAGTTCTGGGTGCCACTTTTATGAGGACCATAACTAACTGCAGTTTATCCAGAAAAGTGATGAAGGTGAAGGTGGGAAATGGACTTGAAACCATGTAATCTAAGGAATGATTGAAAGGCCTGTGGAGTTTAGCCTGGTGAAAAGATTTAGTTGCTGATGTCATGGCTGTCTTCAATATATGACTATCATGTGAGAAAGGATTAAACTTACTCTCTTAGGTCACAGTCAGGACTGAGTGGATGAGTAGCAAAGAGGAAGGTTTTTGAGTTATTAAAAGGGAAATTTTTGGTAATGTCGGCTGCACAAAAATAGAATAAGCCTTTTTAGGCATTCATATTTATGAATATCTTAGAAAATCTGGTCTCAGTTTTACTTTTTAAACCATAGTTCGTGGGTAAATGTATCAAAGACTTGGGCAAGGAAACATTGAAATCCGTAAGAATGGTAACTTCTATGTATGCTTTCATATTCATTCAATAAATATTTACTGGTCACCTGTCATATACCGGGTGCTCCACTGGCTATTGGCAGAGCACGCATTGAGACGTGAAGTGACACCTGAATGAATACATTTGAGGGGGTTGTATGTGTAAGTCTGCTCTAGCAATAAGTAGAAGTAGGGTTTTTTTGTTTTGCTTTCTAAGTGTATTTATTTTGAGAGGAAGAGAGGGAATCCCAAGCAGGCTCTGTGCTATTGCTCCATCCCACAAACTGTGAGATCATGACCTGAGCTGAAATCAAAAGTTAGACACTCACCTTACTGGGCCGCCCAGGCACCCCTTTATAAGGATATATGTAGTTTAGTTGCTGGGAAGTTTAAACCAAAAACATAAAAATACACTGTGTTGACCAGAAAACCAATCACAAAATAGGGAAACAAAACTGGTAGTAATTTATACCTAAAAAGGGAGAGTAGCAAAATTTGAAATCAAGACCAATCCAAGAGAGCATTGGTGATACACTGATAAAGATTCTTTTCCTCAAATTGAGGAAATTCTGGCCAAATTTGCGTGCACACATGGACAGGAAGAGCTTGTTGATCGTGCTTCTTGTTAAATGCAGAACAAAAATTCTCTGTGTACTCTGGTAATATGCCAGTTTTTGTTACGAATGCTAAATTGAAGTACTCTTAACTAAACTTAAAATATATGAAATTTGTCCTTGAAAACCAAAAGAATTATTTCCAATTTGGGGTCAGTTTGTGACCACTAGTAATATGCTTGAGGACCACTATTTGAGAATCACAAATGTAATGCATTTTCTTCCCTCCCTCCCTCCCTCCTCACACTTCCTTCCCATTCAACCCCTATGCCTTCCTTCTTCCTTCCTGGCAAAAGCTAGAGTTGGGAGGAGGGGGAGAGAGCTTTAGAATCTAAAGCAGGCTCCAGGCTCTGAGGCTCCTCAGAGCCAATGTGAGGCCTGATGTGGTCATCACATGAGCTGAAGTCGTACGTCCAACCTACTGAGCCACCCAGGCCTAGCCAGATGTGGGCATTTTTTTTTTTTTTTAATTTTTTTCAGCGTTTGTTCTTTTGGGACAGAGAGACAGGCATGAGCAGGGAGGGGCAGAGAGGGGGGGGAGCCACAGAATCAGGCCAGGCTCCAGGCTCCAGGCCATCAGCCCAGTGATCGGGGCTCGAACTCCCGGTTTCCCGATCAATGACCTGGCTGGGGAGATGGGATAACAGCAGGCCTACTACAGGCGCCCCTAAAGCATTTTAAAGCACTAGTTGGGAGGTTATACTAAACCTTTAAGTCCCTTCTAGTTCTGGAGGTTTTTTGTGTGATTTTTGTGATGTGGTCCTGAAAAAAAAGAATATTCACATTTAAATAGACCATTTAATAGAGCTTTCCTTTGAGTAATGATGTAATACTGTATTTTATGGTGGTTTGTGATTTTTGAAAGCTACAAACTTTTGGGTAAGTTTGTTTAGTCTGTTGCATTTTATTTTTATTTTTATTTGTTATTTTAGAGAGGAGCGTGCCCAATAGCAGTGGAGAGGGACAGAGGGAGACGGAGAACAGAATCCTAAGCAGGCTCCATGCTCAGTGTAGAGCCCAATGTGGGGCTCAATCCCACGACCTGAGCCGAAATCAAGAGTCAGATGCTCAACCAACTGAGCCACCCAGGCACCCCTAGTCTGTTGTATTTTAAATGTTAGCAATTTGCTGAAAACCTAAGGCAATGCAAAAGTCAGGACTTAGTAATTGTTAGCTCCGATATATTACATTATTATCACTTAACCAGTTTTGTTATTGAAGCTTTCTAAAAAAGCTTTTGGGTGAGGAAATGTTGGAAAATCATTTTATCAAAACTTGAAGGTAGTTGTTATCATTAACGGGTCTTCACACCAAGGGTCTCCCTTCAGATGGTAGAAAGCAGAGCTCCTTATACCTTGTCTGCATAGAAGCTCAACGGAGTGGAGAGTCTCAAATTAATATGGAGGCAGTCTCCATTGTTGGTTATATGTGACATCCTATCTATATGTTTTTTTCTTTTAGTGAGATCACGTACTATAGGTGAACTTTTAGCTCCAGCGGCTCCTTTTGACAAGAAATGTGGTCGTGAAAATTGGACTGTTGCTTTTGCTCCAGATGGTTCATACTTTGCTTGGTCACAAGGACATCGTACAGTAAAGCTTGTTCCGTGGTCCCAGTGCCTTAAGAACTTGTAAGACTCTTTCCTTTTTTGTATTTTGTATCTCTTGGTAGGATTTACTATTTTCTGTGTGTGGAGTAATAAAAAGATATTGATAACGTAAGTTTTTCCTTGGTAGACTATTATAAATATGTCTTAATCATAAGCTGAATATATGTATTGGAAAATTTGTAGGAAGAATTATCTGACCTTATACAGTGTAGAATATGTGTATTAAAAAGCAGAATCATGGTTCCTTGGTAGTGTATACCTTGTGTTGTGCTAGGGCAGGTGACCTTTGCTATGTGACACTTTTCGGATTTCACAACATTTTATTAGATAACAGTGGTACATGTAATTGATCATGTAATTACTTCTTATGTACTTAAAATTCCTCTGCTTGGATTTATTTGAGTTTCAGTATTTTTGTTAAAAGTTTTTCTAAGATGTATCATATACTAAATTTAATCTCTCCCTGCTTTTTGTGTCTACTTGACCTTCATAGTTATATTCATTAGTGTCACAGTTACATATTGCTTTAGTCTAGGTTATTTTTAAGGTAATTTTCTGGTGTCAGTTTTATAATTATCAGGTTTTTGTTTTGTGTTTTGCTTGTTTATACTCGTTTTAGGTTAGCTAAAGGAGTCCTAATAGACATAGTGGTTTTGAGGAAAATTTCGAAACAAATAAATTATAAATTGATTATTGTTGAATTTAGTCTTTTTTAGCAACTGAGAATTTCTTTTGATCTGATTTTATTTGGTCACACCCTTGTGACTAATAGCAGCTTTCCCCCTTCTCATCTATAGGAGTCTATTGTTATTCAGTGTCACTGTGACAAATAATGCTGAAGTTATTTTAGCAAACATTTATCAGTATTTAGTATCTATAGAAGTTCAGAGTAAATAATAACTCGATTTCAGTCTGACCTTTTTTTCCCCTCAGTCTCTTGCATGGCACCAAGAATATCACCAATTCAAGCAGTTTGAGATTGTCAAGACAAAACAGTGATGGTGCTCAGAAAAATAAGCCTCGTGAACATATTATAGACTGTGGTGACATAGTCTGGAGTCTTGCTTTTGGATCTTCAGTTCCAGAAAAACAGAGTCGTTGTGTCAATATAGAATGGCATCGATTCAGATTTGGACAAGATCAGCTACTCCTTGCCACAGGATTAAACAATGGGCGTATCAAAATATGGGATGTATATACAGGTACAGAGCCATAGTTTTAAAAGCAAACCTGATTGTTTTATGATGCAGGGCATCTCTAGGCACTAGAAGATGTGATTTGAGGATTTTAACTTACTGAAAAGCAAGTATTGATGCTATGAGTGTGTCTTTATAATTGGCCTGAATATCATCTTTAGCTCGTGGTTTTAATTTAAGAAAATAGAGTTCTCACTGCTTGATCACTCTTCAGAGAATATTACAGCAGAAAAGGGCATGTCTAAGGAACATTTAGTTAATTATCATTTATAAACTAGTAATTTAGTTTATGACTCAAATAGGGTGTTTTCTTATATACTTTTTCAGTGATAGCTTGGAGGCTTTCAAGGCAAATCTGGTTTCAACAATCATTGTCTAACCTTTGGAAGGTTTTAGTGACATTTTATCTGAAGTTTAACTAGATAGGTTGAGAAGTTAAATTCTTTGGGCAATTAAAAGTGAACGTATTGTTAACTGACTGACACAGTTTCTGACTGATAGTATGTACTCAAAAATTTGAAGGTTTTTTTAAATGAGCATTAAAACGATATGGTAGAACACAGCAAGTGATACCAATATTGAGTGAGGATAATGAGTCAGTAAATTTGATTGGATTCTTGAAAAAAAAAACTTAAGGAAAGCACATAGGTTTTCATAGAAAACAAAACTCTTTCAAGTACATTTTTTCACTGATTATCTTTGAAAATTTAGATGGTTATTTGATAACATTTATCTTCTGGGGAGCTTGACATTCTGTTAGTAATCCAAAGCCAAGGAAAAGAAAAGGGAAATTTTGACTTTATATTTAAAATCATACTATACAAAGATTAAAAATGATAATTAAGCTTTCCTGATAGTAAATTAACTTGTTTACACTTCAGGAATTCCCTTTAAACTTCCCTAAAAATTTTAGGCTTTGCTTTCCTGGAAATAATCCATTTTAAAACAGTATAAAAATAGAGACTCTTTAAAGGTGATAGTAAAAGTGCTAATAAGTCACCTTACACTTGATAAACTAAGGACGTGCCAAGGATTTCTACTTTAGATTTTTTTTTTTTTAATGGTGAAGAGCCCTATTTTAAAAAAATAGAAGCTGATAAAATTACTAACATTGTCTTTTTCCCCTTTTCCATTGCATTTAGGAAAACTCCTCCTTAACTTGGTAGATCATACTGAAGTGGTCAGAGATTTAACTTTTGCTCCAGATGGGAGCTTGATCCTTGTATCAGCTTCAAGAGACAAAACTCTGAGAGTGTGGGACCTGAAAGATGATGGTATGTCTTTTTTCCAGCCTGTGAAACATAATGAGTTTCTTGAGAGGTGGCGATCATCTAGGGCATTCGACTTTCAAAGTGGCATATGATCAAAGTTTCCTTTTCTTTAATCATTTGGTCCCTTTCTCTGTGTAGATCAAGCAAAACCATAAATGTAATCCAGAATAGGAGCCAGCAGTTACTCTGAACAACATATTATTCAGAAACTAACCACACAGATCTGTATCAACGATTTGAGGACAAAATCTGGGTCAGTTTTAGGATTTTGTATGAACTGGTCTGTGTTGGTTTATTTCTTTCATCTTAGGGAAGGTTATTAACTTCCTTCATTTGCTTAGCAAAAATTTAAGTAGATTTTGAAGTTACAGACACATTATTTAGTAATCAAATCAAATATAGATTAAAATATGATTTATACACTGGAATCTGTAATACCTAAATGCTAATAAGCATAATAGTAAGTTGGATAGGTTAAGTAACAAATTATCAAAAGTAAAAGACTTGCTCTCCAATATAATAAAAGGTATGTTAGTGTTAACTACTCAAGTTTTTCTGAAACTTTGTCAGTTGCAGTGCTTACAGAGTTGGAGAGTTCTATCTTATTTGAGAGGACCAGAGATGAGCATTTCTTCCCCCTTTTTAGCTGCTAATGAAAGAGATTACAGTTTTGGCTAACACCTTATACTTAAATAATATGTTTTAGGGCTCTACCAACCTCAAGCTGGAGGTCAAGGTCTTGCTCAGAGGTGTTGCAACTTAAATGTAGTAGGAAACAAAACCCTCAGGTTTGGAGACTCGTTCCGGCTGATGGGTAATAACCATTGCCTGATAAAAATCATATGCTAATGTTACCAAACCATGACGGACCTCCTCTGCATTTCATCATTTGCTGACTGCTCAGCTGTTGAGAGATGAAGAGATTTCTCAACAGTTGTAACAGTAATTAAATTTTATTTTGTTTTGCATATTAAATACTGCTTGCTTTCTCAATACATTTTCAGTGTGTGCATATGTTTTAAGAACATAGACTCAGTAAACTAACCGTAAGCTCAAGAGAGTAGGGACTTTGTCTTATTCACAGCTCTATCCTCAGTGGCTGACATACAGTAGGCATTCAGTAGGTATTTGTAAAATTAAGAGTTAAAATCTACGTAGACATAGTTGTGTGCTTTAGGTATAATGCACAGGGGCTTTGGAGCGGAATGTAGTTATCAAAAAGGAAGAAGGATGAAAGGTATTTTGAAGGTGTTTCTCAAGTCTCAGCCTTGAAATGTTGCAGTTCTTTCATTTTAGAATAAGGGGCTTAGACTAAAAGAATTCTATCTTCGTAGATGAAGGGTCAGGAGACTTTTTCCTCAAGGGCCAGATGGTAAATATCTTGGGCTTGTGGACCATGCCATCTCTGCTGTAGTTCCGTCTGCTGTTGTAGTACAACATAAACAAATGGGCATGATTGTGTTCCAGTAGAACTTGACAAAGACAGGCAACTGGTTTAGTGTCCAACCCCTGTTACAGATAAATCACTGCCACTGTAGAAGCTTGCGATTCTGTGATTCTGCCATTTTTGAAATGCTACTCTTTGGAAGTGAACTCTGGGGTTAACACCAGTATTTCTTTTTGTTCAGGAAACATGATGAAAGTATTGAGGGGCCATCAGAACTGGGTGTATAGCTGTGCATTCTCTCCTGACTCATCTATGCTGTGTTCAGTGGGAGCCAGTAAAGCAGTATGTATCAAAGTTCTTGGACATTCATTGTGAACTGGATTATAATGTGTGCATAATCACTTTAAATCTAAGTAACCTATTAAGTCTGCTCGGTGTCATGAATATCTTAAATGTTTTATTTCATGATGGGGAAAATTTGCATGAGGGAAATTAAATATAGTTACTGATTGTGGAGTGGGAAATTGGATTGCTTTTAGTTAGAGATAATATTCTTAAAGTAAGGGATATGTCAAATTTATTTTTTTCTAAGATCTAGGAAAGTTTATGCGATATAGAAGAGATCTAGTCCAAATGTTAAGACATTCCCGCTAATTATTTTCTTCTCTGTTGTTCTATTTTTTTGTCCAGTTTGCCGTTTAAAAAGTTTTGAGTCCCAGCTGGTCCTGGACATTTAACTGAAAAAAAGTAACTTAAAAATCTAATAATAAAAATAGCACTTGTATATGTCTAGAGTGAATTATAGATGAATTGACATGGTCTATCTTGCATAGCATACCTGTAGACAGATTAAGTATGAAGTGACTTGAGAGGGTTATGCTTATTGATGAACTCTCTTTTAGTTGTCTACCAGCTCTGACTTAGTATAGTGCAGGAGATCTTATTTAGCTTCAGATGTTTATGAAAATTGTTGAAGTCCAAATACATGTGATATTCACAATACACTGAGTTAATGGGGGGTGGGAGGCTGGTTATAAATGCATTTTATTTAGCCAAGAAGTATGTTGAAATGATAGTTGCAAATGTTGGAAGTTTAGAAAAAAAGTATTCAGTTCTTTAAAAATCATAAGAAGAACAAAGCTAGATAATTGACATTGCTATTTTAGGCTGTGTGTTTTCCATATGCTTCTTGCTTTCCCTGTCACAGGTGGTGGCAGCAATATTGGTGTGATTGAGGTTATGCTGGCACCACTCGCACACAGGCGCACAATGGTGTTAGCTGGGCAGAAAGAGTGGCATCTCTGGCTACCGGGCTGGGGGCGACCTTTACCGTAGGATGAAGTAACCTTGCATTCGGCTGCAAGGTGTACTGTACGTACACAGGTGCTGGTCGATGTCCACTTTCTGCTTTTCTTTCTTTCTTTTTTTCTTTTTTAAAGTAATTTCCCCCGCAGTGAAACCCACTGACTCCTCCAAGTAAATTGATCTTCCGGTCTCAAGGAATTGGGAGTCTGACATGTGAAACCAATTTAATGTAATGTCATTGGCGTTCAGATGGTTTCTCTGTGCTATTTTTTTGGAATTCCTTGCGATGTTAGAGATACCTTAAGTCTTTGATCCAACTTAAAATTCGTATTTATTTTTCTCTGGAAGTAATGTATTGTGTCTGTGCAGAAAAAAAAAGTAGCAAAAAGGATTGCTTTACTCCAAGAGGAGAGATTGTCTTATTAGGATCGTTCTAAACCTCCAAGCTCGCATTTAATGTAACTAGACTGAAGTAAACGTTCGAATCCTATTCAGAACTATTCTGCACAGTCTAAGTTCTGGTCTTATACAATTGAAAAGTATATGTAAACTTGTACTAAAGTAATTTAAATGTTTTATAGTTTAAATGTCTAATGATTGTGGTCGGTTTGGGAAAAATAAGATTGGCAAATCTTGATTCACAGACATGTTGTTAATTGTAATATTTTCATAAATTAGTTTTTTCATTTCATAATGTGGTTTAACATCCTTGTTGTTTGCCAAAGAAATTTCATTTGGCTGTGAAAATTCTCTTTGCTTGCAGTATCTGTTTCTCTTCCTAGGCTCACGTTGGTGACCCAAGCCTATTGTAAACAAGTGATTATCTCAAAGGGAGATGCCAATGGAGTAACAATTTGTTAACATTACATTTTCTGTCTGTATATTTTTTAAAAATTTGGTAGTTTCTGGAAAAAAAAAAGAAGGGGGTTTGTAGTACTTAACCCTATTTACTTCTGTATATTTTAGTTAATTAGTTTTTGGAATAAATGGATTTCAGTATAACTTTGTGGTTAAGGTTAAATTGCATTGCCTTTTTTACGTTTAGGCTTATTTTTAAATTAACATTTAACAGAAACATTTGAAATAGAATTTGCATGTCTACTTTAATTAACTTAAAGACTGATTTTAATCTGACTATGACACTGAGCATATTCTTTTAATTATTCATAATTTATAATGTTTAATTTAATGTAATGTTAATTAAGTGTAGCAGTTGTAGTTTAAGTTGTGCCATTTTGTCCTCTGTGTGTCTGAAGGAAGCTATAACATTTGCCTTTTTATTGCAGGTTTTCCTTTGGAATATGGATAAATATACCATGATACGGAAACTAGAAGGACATCACCATGATGTTGTAGCTTGTGACTTTTCTCCTGATGGAGCATTGCTGGCTACTGCATCTTATGATACTCGAGTATATATCTGGGATCCACATACTGGAGACATTCTGATGGAATTTGGGTGGGTGCAGCATGCATCAGTTGTAGTCTGTAATTCATCTCTGGCTGTCCGTATAGCTTTTAAGAAGTTACGTGAATGATTGGAATCACTAACATGTTGAACCTAAAATTGCATTTTGCCATAATTTTTAAGTTGCAGTATTATTTAAGTCCTTGAATAATGCAAAGCTGTAGATACAAATTCTAAAAATAAATTTGGCTGTCTTGATACAGATCGTGTTATTGTCATGTAACAGCATATGACTCTGTAGAAGTGGTAATTATATTTAGAGTTTCATGTCAGGGAAAATAGTTGAAACTGAAGCTGGAGTTAATCTTAGTGATTTAAACCACATTGTAAAAAGGAGATTAGTAATTCTTTTAGGTTCCTTTCATTTAATATGAATCTATCAGCTCTCCCCAGGCTCCTCAGTTGTGTTCGTTGAGACCACTTTAAACATTCAAAGACAGATGTACTCTGTACCTGGATAGTTTTGCTTCTTGAAGTGACCCTCATTTCCACTGAATACATGTATTTGACCTCAGGCACCTGTTTCCCCCGCCTACTCCAATATTTGCTGGAGGAGCAAATGACCGATGGGTACGATCTGTGTCTTTTAGTCATGACGGACTGCATGTTGCAAGCCTTGCTGATGATAAGTAAGTGTGTGAATTACAATTTGACCTATTTATTATTGTCTTTTAAAGATTTCCTTTTATCTTTCTACTTAATGAAAACATTTCAAAGCTTAAAAGAAAAAAAAAGCCTTTCTGCAGTGTGGGTTTTAATGTCTCTTTCTCTGAACAAGACTTGGGGAGATGTTGTGTGTCTTAAAGAACATTGGCCTGAACTCAGGTCTTGATCTCTCAGTTGATGAGATCAAGCCCCACGTCAGGCTCTGTGCTGGCAGCATAGAGCCTGTTTGGGATTCTGTCTGTCTCTCTCTCTCTGTCTTTCTCCATCCCCCCTTCTCTCTCTCTCTCTCTCTCTCTTTCAAAATAAATAAATAAAACATTAAAAAAGAAAAAAAGAATATTGGCCTGAAGCATATCCAGGTTCACTAAAGGTAATGCACGCCTTCCCTGTGCGCCTTGTTTGTTAACCAGTGTAAGCAAACTGGGGAGATTTTTTTTTTTTTTAATTTTTTTTTTTTTCAACGTTTATTTATTTTTGGGACAGAGAGAGACAGAGCATGAATGGGGGAGGGGTAGAGAGAGAGGGAGACATAGAATCGGAAACAGGCTCCAGGCTCTGAGCCATCAGCCCAGAGCCTGACGCGGGGCTCGAACTCACAGACCACGAGATCGTGACCTGGCTGAAGCCGGATGCTTAACCGACTGCGCCACCCAGGCGCCCCAAACTGGGGAGATTTTTAATGAGCCCACAGAGATTTTTTTTCAGTAATACCTTGTAAAGGTTGAAGCAGAAGGACGTTTTCAAAGTGGAATAAATGGTAAAAATGGTCATTTGTGTCCACTGCAGTTGAGGCTGCAAGATGAGATGGCACATGAGCGAGATGCACTGCTGATTGGTACAAAGCAGAAACTAGATACAGCCATTCCGTTTTCTCATGCTTTTATCATGCAGTGTGCAAGGATGCAGCAGTAAGCAGTTTCAGAAATTCAGAAAGTGACTCATTATCATCTTTCCAGAACATTAGCAAATGTACAGGGAGAGTTTTTTGGGTTTTTTTTTTTTTTTTTGGCCAGTAGTCACTGTTTTTCTGTTTGTTCAGATTTTGAATGTCAGGTCTCTGCTGTTTGTAGACACACTCTACCTATGTGAAAAGGCTTTTTTTAATGCCTTGGAAAGAGAGTAAAACAGATCAGATATTAATTGAGTGTAAAGAGAAAGATTCCGGTTGTGACCATTTTAGATCTGAATACCGGGAAGGAGAGGTAGCCGTGCATTATAGTCTCTTAAGTGTCAGTTGGTCCAAATTACCAATTGGCATAGGCTAGAAAATATTTGATAAAACAAGTTACAGTAATTGCTTGCTGCAGTGATGTGATATGTGCATGTTGTGTGTATTTTGTGACTTGGAACAGAGTGCCATTTTTATCTGAATTATAGAAGTTGCTTTTACTTTAAATTTCCTGTTACTCACTGTACAATTTATTTCCTTTCTAGAATGGTGAGGTTCTGGAGAATTGATGAAGATTATCCAGTTCAAGTTGCACCTTTGAGCAATGGTCTTTGCTGTGCCTTTTCTACTGATGGCAGTGTTTTAGCTGCTGGGTAAATAGAATTTTCTATTCTCTTTAAGAGGCAATTTAAGGTGGCTTTTGGTCAAAGCAGCCAGTATCTTATTGTCATTAAATCTTCCAGAATGGCTCTTTGTACTACTGTTACTTTGTCATAGAGGAGATCGTTGGTTAGGTCTTCTTAATTAGGTTTGACATGGGAGCACCTGGGTGGCTCAGTCTGTTAAGTGTCTGACTTCGGCTCAGGTCATGATCTCATGGTTCGTGAGTTCGAGCCTGCTTCAGGTTCCATGTTTCCCTTTCTTTCTGCCCCTACCCTGCTTGCATTCATATTCTCCCTCTCTCTCCCCCTCCCCCTCTCTCTCTCTCTCTCTCTCTCTCTCTCTCTCTCTCTCTGTCAAAAATAAACAAAAACATCAAATTTTTTTTAAGTTAGGTTTTAATGTGTAGCTTATGACTCTCATACACAGCTTTGAATGATAGTTGTTGGAGTTGTAGGATGTTTAAATACATGTACATGTGTGACTGAGCTAATGATTTCTTTTGTTTCTGTTTAGGACACATGATGGAAGTGTGTATTTTTGGGCCACTCCAAGGCAAGTCCCTAGCCTTCAACATTTATGTCGTATGTCAATCAGGAGAGTGATGCCCACCCAAGAAGTCCAGGAGCTGCCAGTTCCTTCCAAAGTGTTGGAGTTTCTCTCCTACCGCATTTAGAGGGCTCTGTCTTCCTGGTGCTAGGGACTGACCGAGCACACATGACACAAACCTCAAGCTTGACTGACTTCAAGTATCTGTTTTTCAAGGTTTAGAAGATTTATTTAATTTGATACATTCTTGTAGTGCATTTTGGTCATTTGATCATATTAAAATATTATTTATAGACTATAGGAGAAGTATTTCCAAACATATCAAATGTAAATTTTTTTTTAAAGTTTAACTGTGAAAACATATACATACATGTATATATTTAGATATAAGCTGCTATGTGTTGAATGGACCCTTTGCTTTTTTAACTTTTAGTTCCAACATGTATATATTGCTTCAGTAGATCCACAATGTATATCTTAGCTGTAAAGTGGAAGGATTTTTTTTTTTTTTTTTTTTTTTTTTTTTTTTTTTTTTTTAATTCTGGGCCACTGAGTTAGATGGTAAATATTGGCTGAAGAAAGCTGAATTTCCTCATTAAAAAATGCAAATTTGGTTGGGGGGTGGAGGTCAGACCTCCGACCTACAAGTAAAACCCCTAGGGAAACGATTTTGTTTTCCTTAGGAACGTTATCCAAGAGGTAGAATTTGAATGTGACATAGCCAGGGTTATAACTAGGAAAACGATGTGTGTGTCCTGTCGTGGCCCCGCCCCCATAACTATTGTTGTGGGCCTTAAGTTTGGAAAGCAGCTTGCTACTTTAACCCCGTGGTGTAAAGTATTATAAATTTTAGTCCATTTGAAAAGTCCATCTACTGTATTATTGCTAAATATTTTGTTGTTTATACTAAGGGACAATTTTAAGACCGTGGTATTGCTTTTTTGTTTGTTTTTTTTTACATGTATCATATGTTTCTGCAGGGGGTGATATTGGTGATTTGCCAAAGAGAAGCAATACAGTATATCTGCTTTTGCCTTCTGTTATTTATCGTACCTGCAGATATTAAGAATGTATGCATTATGTATGCATTATGTAAAATGCTTGATTATATATATTTGAGTTTTTTAAATTAAAGACTTGTAAAAAAAACCACTCTCACAAATGTTTCTTCTGTGTGTGGGAAGATTCAGTGCTTTTGTCTGTCTCCGTCGGGAGACTGATGAGGCACCACAGCAAATGAAGCAAGGAGGCTGATGAATAAATAGTACAGGTACCATCCCTGTGCCAGTTCATGCCTCGTGGACGCAGCAGCTTTTATGTTGATGTGTTATGGGAGAACTGCTGTGATTATTAATGCTTTCTTTAAAAGCACAGAAAAGCTTGGGGCGCCCAGCTGGCTCAGTCGGTGGAGCGGGAGACTCTTGATCTCTCAGGATCATGAGTTCAAACCCCACTTTGGGGGCAGAGAGTACATAACGTGCGTACATACAATTTAAAAAATAATATAGAAAAGCTGTAGAACAAGGGAAAATCACTATTGAGCAAAAGAAAACTATAGTCTTTTAGGGGGAACCAACAGCCTCATAGTAAGTCTATCTCGTTAAAGTAGCCAAAGGAAAGTCTAGTGACGTGGGCCTTTTGAGGAGGTGAAATAAGCAAAACTTTTATTAGCCACGTGTGCTCTCGAAGACTTGTTTGCACCGAGAAATTATTTGAAAGTTCTTCCAGTTGGCTCTGTGAAGGGTGGAAGTTATAAATTTGAAAGCCAGTTGAAAATGTGCCCAAGTTGCTTCTTGAGAATCACCTATCTTATAAAAAGTAGCACAGAAGCATCTTACCTTTAAACCTGTTGTGACTTTTTACTTCAGAATGTGTCTGCTTTATAATTTGAAAATGATAAGATACCATTACTTATTCTTCACAACATTAAATGATTTGCTCTCCAACCAACGTATGTGATCAAGTAAAAATCGCATTTTTGGAAGATGCATTCTCTGAGAAGGCCGGATTGCTTACTACCTCTTCATGTGAAAATCACAGCGCCAGGGTGAATGGAAGATTGCGGAATATAAGTCAAGTAGAAACAGACTTAAATTTTCCATTTATCTGTGGAGACTGAGATAAAAGGATGATACTGCTTCAGACTGAGTGACCCAAGGAAGGTAGGGAAGATGTGGTTGGGTCGGATTCTAGCGATGCTATTTTATCGGAATGATGCTGCTTTCTCCCATTTGCCAGAAGCGTGCCATTCGGAGAACTGGCAAGAGATCATTTATGTTCAGATGTGGTTTCCTATCTTGGTGCCCACAGGGGTGCCTCGCAGTTAGCAGCCATGCTATCTTTTCACAATTTCACGTGATTTAAAGCGACACTTGAAGACCTGTAGCTTGATCTTAGGTCTGCAAATCTTGACTTTATGATGCTTGATGTCCTCTGCCTACTTGTGAGAAAGTAAAGTTGGATTCAGCTGGTTTGTACTGCCCTCAAGGGCAACAAGACAGCATTATGGCAGGAGCATGCTTCTGGGTTGAGGCAGTGGCTGATGGGTACAGAGGACTTGGCTCTCGGCCAGCCAGCACAGGGATGAGAAAGAGACTGAGAAGCCAAATATCGCCTCTCAAGCCAAAAACCGGAGAGTGAATCCAGCCATCAGATTCATCAGAATGAAGGTTTGCGGGTGATAAAATTCTGACCAGGTTCTGGCCTAACAATGCATTTTAACTATAGAATGTATAGATTATAATATACAAGTAATATCTATAATAGAGTTAAATAGAGTTAATTGTATGTCAGTTTCAAAATCAGGTAAAGCATCCATTTAGAGTATACCGGTTTTATTGTTTTTAAATCCCCTTGGAAGAGCTGTCAGCAATAAAGTGCAACCTGGAGAAATGGTCATCATAACTGTAGCTTCTGTTTATGATAAGATGTTTAGAAGTGAAGATTTGTAGGCAATTTCATCCTGTGCTTGGCTCTGTAAAGCTTGCTTTTAGCCAAAAGCAAAAAGCTGGCCAGAGCAGGGTGTAAATTGATTTATTTATATTACAGGTAGCTGGGTAGCTTTGTGTGGTTGTGATTTGGCATTTTTGTGGGTTTAATAGTTGAGTCGGAGAAAAAGATTGAGGGATTGAGGAAAGAAGGTCAATTTTAATTCCACTTTTACCAACTCTGGCATTATTCTCCCTATTAGAGCCTACAACTCTGATGACGCTTGTGGTTTCTCTTTTAGAGATGATCGAAAGCTAGGAACTTTCTTCACCTGTACTACCATGGGAAGTCGTTCTTCTGTTCTGAAAATAAACCCTAGACTTTGGCTAGGAAAACGTGTAATACAGTGATGACCAAGGACTGTCCTCTGAAGACAGGTGAAGCGGTGACTCCAGTAAATTGTTTTGTGTAGATCTTCCAATTGATTAATAATGGAATGTTCCATTATTATATTGTATTATAATGTTCCATTATAATAATGGAAGAGAGAATGCTATGAAATACAGCAAGGAGTGAGGCTACTATAAAATGGAAACCATAAAGACCTAAGTTTGCACTCAGCTTTGGGGCACCTGGCTGGCTCAGTTCAGAAGAGCATGTGACTTTTGATCTCGAGGTCATGAGGTTGAGCCACATTGGGTGTAGAGATTACTTAAAAATATGTAGAATGTTAAAAAACAAAAACAAAAACATGTTTGCACTCAATGCAAAATGGGAAGTTCACCCAGTAAGTCATGTGATGCACTGGGTCTGTCTCATACCATCATTCAATCCTTTATTCTTGAAGAAAGCACAGTTAAAGCTTTCTATAGGACCAGCAGGAATACTTCCTAAATGCTTTTTTTTTTTTAAGTTTATTTATTTATTTTGAGAGAGATGGTGTGAGCAGGGGCAGAGATAGAGAGAGGGAGAATCCCAAGCAGGCTCCATGCTGCAAGTGCAGAGCCTGACATGGGCTCAATCCCACAAACCGTGAGATCATCACCTGAGCTGAAACCAAGAGTTGGACACTTAACCAACTGAGCCACCCAGGCCCCCCACTTCCTTCATGTTTCTTAAACAGATGGAAACTGCCAGAGCACACAGGTATCCATTTCCTTGTATTCCCTGACGTCTAAGGCCCCTAAGACAATTTGGCAGAAATTCTAGGTTTCAAGCTTGAATGATACCAGTTGAGCTTAGAAGAGGAAGCAAACACCCCTGTGGGCCTGTGCTCCAAGCACCCACAGCCCCACATCAGGGTGTCTCTACCATCACCTGCTTTGGGACATGAGCCTGTTTCACTGGTTTTACTGAATTTCATGACATTCCAATTCTTGCAGATATTTGAGTCTGACCCTTACGTCGATGGCCTCTTTTTGGTGGTCACAGATACGCTGCCCCAGCACAAAGTGGTCTTGCCCCTTTCTCTTTCTCAAATCATCAGTCTTAATTTCTACACCACTTCCTTGGCCTATGCCCTGTTGCCTGTCACTGCTCCTTAGGTGTTGCCGCCTCGTTAAGAAGGCAAATGCCTCCCCCTGAGGGGGTCCTGTAGCCTCGGGGCTCTGCCCCTGGCTGGCCTGTGGGTCACAGTGACAGCTCCTTGGAACCATGGAGAGATGAAAGACTGGCCCTTGAGTCGCAGGCATGGAAGTACCCCTGTGTTGGGGAATTTGGATGAGAGGCCCAGAGCCAACTGACCCAGCTTGTGCGACGTGGAGAGAGCACCTCCTTCAGAATGTCTGGGCCACGCTGCTCAGTACCTGGCAAAGACCCAGCCTTCCAGGCTTGGCCCCATCTGGCCCATCAGGAGGGTGTTCATATAGCAGATTGGCCTGGTTTCTCACCCCAGGGCCTGTTGCCCGGAGGACTTTGCAGAAGTGTTGGCTGAGGCTGCAGTAGTCCCAAGGTTGATTGCAGACCCTGCCACTTAACAGCTTGTAACTTTTGGAGCTTCGAGATCTATCTATATAAATGCTGTAATAATGCCTCCGCTACACAAGTAGTGTTTATTTTGTTATCTATCTGTACAGTGTCAGGTACCCAGTAGGCATTCAGCATTTGTTACTACCATTCCTTGAGCATTGGCCAAGTGCTCAATGCTATCCCTGGTACTTTCCAGCAACTCAAGTATTATTACAGAGCTGTGGAGGTTCA